GCTTGTGCTTTGTCGATTGTGTATATATTAAGCCTGAAGTCATACTGATGCACCTCATCCCGCACACAAAATCTTATTCCCCTATAATTGGTTCAGACTATGAGGTACCCTTTTAAATTGATTGAGAAAACCTCACGCAAGCCATGATTTCGCACTACTTTGTGAATTTTCCTGTGCGCCATAGTTATTCGAATTGGTTCACAGTCGAGTGATGCTACCCATCGTCATCGATTTGAACTCGAGTACGCCAACTGCCATGTTTTTTTTTCACCATTGCAATCAAACAGGCTGTAGAAGTATTCGCTCTATGAGCCCAGTATGCTCTAAACATTCTTATATGATCAAATTCCGGTCTTGAAACCTTCTGAGAGTCGTCGCATCTGTACATTATATTTTCCATAATTAACCCTCTTTGTCAATTATTGATGGTATCCCTAATCTTGGCTTCCCATGTTTCTTTCTCTCTGTCTTTCTCAAACCAAACTCGATGCGTTGGATCGTAACATTGCAAAATAGGTAGTTTTTTTTCGTTACCACAGCAATCCTGCATTACTCAATATACTAGCTCTTTTTTCGAAATCCAATTATTTCTTTCGGCATCTGCTCTCAGAGAGATAAAGTCTAAGTCGCAAAATAAAATTGCTCCGTTCTCTGCAGCTAGTGACAGCCAAGTAGCTTGAAAAATTTATTTTTGCTTTCATCTCGTGCTGCAGAGAGCTATACGAAGAGATTAACAAAAGTTCAGACAGTAAGTGACTTTCTATTTATTTTGTTAAATTCAAAAATACCAAATCCTTTGCAATTACTTTATTAGCGTTACTTTAAAATTTTAGAACGAACAGCTAAAATGGAGACGAGAAATCTTTAGATAGCTGTGGATAGGTCAGACGAGATTCCACCATTAACGCAATGGCCGAGATGGTCGATCAAAATATTTCACTGATGACATCACTGCAGCTCTGGTGAAATCAAAAGTTGACGGAGACCCCCGATTGACACAAGAAATTATTGATAGTGAATTGATTTTGAATGCCATGGCTGCATTGCGAGTATCAATTATCATCTAAGATACACGAAGAAATCTGCTCCTTGGGTACCCCGAATTTTAAATGGGACCCAAAAAGAGGCTCGAGTGCATTTTGCAAAAATTTTTCCTAAACAAATTCGAAAATTGTCAGTCGAGCAACTTTAGTAAAGTCGCTACTGGTGACGAACTTTGGTTCTATAAGTCCTATCCAGAAACCAAACAGAAGTTTATGGAAGGGAGCCCAAAACGAGCAAACCCACCCATAAAATCTAGGCAACAAAAATCAGGAGCAAGACTAATGAAGAGTTTACTTCATCGCTGTGGGCTCCAAACACTACTCGTCTAGGGTTTGAATTTGTATCCATAACTTCAATAAGCGAGATTAGCTTATCAATCATTTACGATCAGGTTAAAAAGTTGATTGTTATGACCGGCCGTGGGAGAGCATATGACAATTTGTATTTTTCTATTGTCCACCATCGTTAGCCTATCTATTGCTCACCTTATCGAGCGCCATTAGTTGGAGTGCTGAAATTTCCCAACCCTGCTTACTGGTGATGAGCACAGTTTACTTCGACGCCTACCAGCCTTACTAAACCAGCGAACAAAATATTTTATGCATTTCCTTAAACCAAACGAATGCAACCCTTTACATGTAGCCTGTCGAATGAGACGTCAAATAAACCGGCACGAACACTTTTACCATAAAAGCAATTTGGCATACTTTCCCAATGACCAGCTATTGGTATTAATGCAATATAAGAGGAGAAGGAAGAAAGAAGGCAGGAAGTGATGTCGTCGGAAGAAATGTAAGGTAAATTCCGAGCGAGCTGACATGAGCTCTCTATAAATTGGTCGAATATGTAGTTGCAATTTCGGCTGCTGTCATTATCAACAATTTTGCCAACTCCACCTTTTCGTTGTACAATCAAACGACTACCACTACGAGATGTGAAATGTTGAAATTCGATAAGTTTTGAGGAAATAGAAGCAAAAACGAAGACAAAAAATAACCAAAAGCTACACAAAAAATAACAATAAAACATTGCAAAAAATAAGTGCAGTAAATAAAGTTGCAACTAACCAACGTTCAAAGTGACTTGTTAACCAAAACCTAGCCAACAATGTGTTTGAAAGAGAAAGAGGGAGAGGTGAGCTTCTAATGGCAGCTACGTGTTTAACCAAAATAGCTCATCACAACCTAACCAAAAGGCCAGCTGACAATTGACAAGGCTGCTTTATAGCATAGCTGAAGCAATCAAAAAAACCTGCAGTCGAATGGACTAGTTAAAAACTACTTGGCAACTAGTCAGCCAGCAAGTTTATTTTCCATAAATGCAACCTTTTTTCTTAATATGGAGTTTTTTATGAGAAGTTCTTTGCCTCTTTAGCAGAAATAAACTAATTCTACACTAGTTTCAAATACACAAAAAAGAGACTACTAGTTCCATTCCAATAGAAAACTTAAATTAACGATTGAAATAAATAGAAATTAATTTTTCATAAACATTTATTAAAAAGCTTCTTTATGAAACAAATTTTATAAATAATTTTAAAATATATGTAAGCGTACAACTCGAGAATGAGTGAACCGATTTGTCTATTTTAATCTGGAAATATTTGTGGAAGCTCACGGTAAGTTTAAACAGTTAAATGCATCCGGGAAGTGTACCAGGGGCTGGCTTACTCGAAGAAAAACGATGTGTCCTTTGATTTACTTGAAATTTGGTTATTCATGTTGCCTTTCGCTTAGACTATTTTTCGCCGCAAGACGACTTGTCTCTCTGGGAAGTGAGCCTATTCAAAAAAATTGTATTTTCAGATATTTTTAAATGAAATTTTATTTTTGTGGGAATTGGACAGAGCTATTTGAAGTGATATATAATATATATATATACCCTTAGGGGGAAAACCAACTAGTATGCAAAAATTCTAGTTAAATACTAGTATGTTGAAGACAAAATCATAACAGTTCGTTATTTGTAAAGAAGTCCAACAGTAACGAGAAAAATAACAATTTCTACCACTCTTAGTTGTTGTTATATCGGCAGAACGCGGCTGAATTCCATACTCTGCCCTGTTCTATTGAAGTGCGCAAAATAACATTGATCGTACCATCGTTGTGATAGAAGATTGGTTAGAAGTTATCTCTGTAGCACGTTAGGCTTCTGGTTCGAGTCCCGCTAGAGTTAAGTTAATTTTAAATTAATTTTTTTTTAATTTTTGTTGAAATAGAAATTCAATATGCCAAAATGAACTAGTAATAAACTGGTATGAAGCTGATGCATAGTAGGATAATTGTCAGCTCGTGGGACATCGCCGTGTTAAAAATTTTAGTTGCTTGAATTCTAGTTGACATCTTGTAGTTTCCCCTGCTGGGTGTTTGTATATATGTATTTCATATTTCAAGTTGCGGAAAAAATTTCTAGAAGTCGTTCGAAATTTCTTACGAAACCCAAGGACTTATAATCTATTCAAGCCAGTCGAGCGAAAATTGGCACTTTCATACAAAGATCAGCTAAGAATATTCAGATTGCTAACTAGGCCGCAGCTGTGAAGAATAAAATATTATAGGAAATGGAAAAATTTTGAGGTTATCAGAATGGTTGAACGAACCTCACACCGTAAGTTATTGCTGTTGAAGCTCGATTTCATCTGGGTGACTCTATTTGTTGTAAAGCCTTTTTTTTTCGGATGAAAGAAATTGCATCCGGGCGAAGCAGATGGTATTTATTTGCATTGAAGAGTTTCCTCTTTGCTTTTCCAAACTCGATTACAGAGGTGGTTCTGGTTATGGTGTGTGACACTGGTACATCAAAAGTTACACTTGAAAACAGCCTCCTTTCTTTTGTCGTGACTTACAGGAAGGTGCCACTGAATTTTCTACACTGTAATGGCCGCATTCATGTAAGCAATGAAAAGATTTGATTTTTGGCTGATTACTCCATAGTAACCATGAACTGACCGGCGTGTTCTCTGAACTTAAGTCCTCTAGAGAACGTGGGTTGCATATTATTGAGCAGAAGTTATGCCAATCATAGCCAATTTGAAAGTAGAGATGAGCTTAAGGTTGCAATTTTTCGAATTTTTTTTCGAAGTGGTCGATTAAGAAGATGAAAAAGATTGTCTTGCAAGTGACATTATTGTTGGTTATTTATTAGTTATAATACAGGGTTTTCAAATAAGATTTATTTTAATATTGGAAATCAAAATTAAAGGCATTTTTTCCATTAATAATGAAAAATAACATATACCAGATGGTTACGCTTACAGGACTGCATCCTTTTTATGGAATTTTCCATCAACAAATCAGCAAGTGACTGCAGATGTCTTCAATAGCTGCACTTATTCCATGTTTGAGGCCTTGAATCGACGTTAGTCTGTGGGTGTAGACTTTATCTTTCAGGTAGCCCTAAAGAAAGATGTATCAAAGTGTTAAATCGCAAGATCTCTGTTCCAAATTGTGATCAACTCTTCCAGAGATAACGCGGTCTACTTAAAGATTAATGGTTTCGTTTCATTTAAAAATAAATTTAGTAGGAAATTAGTATCTTTTCTGACTAGTTTGATAACACACTACAGTCTGAACACTTCAAGGTTATCTCATTTTGAGCATTTTCTATATTTCAAATTACAATTTATTTTTTATTTTATTTCAATTTTCAATTAATTTTATTTCTGAATTTATTTTATTTTCTTCTTCGTTTATCTTTTTCATATCCATCTCTGCGCATTGGCCTGCCTTATCGATTGATTTATTTAACGTTGCGTCGTTTTACGCTGTGATTCTGTGACTTGGCTGCTGATGTGGCGTGACGTACCGAAATTGCTTTGGTTACATGCTGGTTTTATACTTTTTTTTTATCACTTTGTTGCCTGTTTTCACTGTGGTGTGCCATACAAACCGAAAAAAATGTAAATACACACACTCACACATACATTTACACACACACACACACACACACACAAACAGGTGGCATTTTATCAAACAGTTTGGCGATTGCAACAGATGCCGCTCACTTACTAACAGATTTTGCTAGTTTTATGATATCATTGTTTGCCATCTGGATTGCTGGGCGACCATCAACACAGCGGTAAGTTGTACTAAAAATATATACATATTTACTCTATATGTGTACGTACATACTCGTATAAAAAGTATAAAAAGTAGCATAACACAATGAAAATGTATGTCATGCTGACTTTGTTTGAATGTGTAGTTTGCTTGCTTTGGCTTTATTTTCTCTTTTATTAATCGCCAGGATTTTAGTTTACTCAATTTCAAAATCTATTCCAACAATTTATATCAGTTGTAGTCATTGTTATTATTGTTCATGTTGGGAATCGAACTTTGTCTCACTATATTTGCATATTCGGTTTACCTACCCAGTGAAAGCTTGATTTAGATCAAGTAAAGTCAACTAAGAAAATTAGTTTGAGTGTAACAAAATCTGTCCTACTCTACCTCATATATCTTATTCAAAGCAATTTTCAGAAGAAGAAGATGCTGTCAGATTCCACTAACATCTTCATTACCTATTAGAGTCGAAACCCCTAGCAACTTGTCTGTGACAACCCCCCTGTCAAGTTGACCACAGCAGCTAAAGCAATAAATAACTTATACTCATATGAACTAATTAAAAAATACTTCGAAACTAGTCGTTTAAGTAACTTTTTTTGTGGCTATGAAGATATTCTCTGCAATGCTGACTGTCAGTTTTCATGCAGAAATAAACTAGTTTTCTACCAGTCCAAAATAGGTAGCATTTTACCAGTTCAAATTGGAATGTCTGCTCGGAGTTTTCAATTGGATGAAGCTTCAATCTAAGAAGCGAAAAGCAACTTTGGTTTAAATCTACTCACTGCGCGGCTCTATAGATCGATCGAGGCGCATTTGAATTTATTTACACTGACACTGAAAGCCGTCTTAAAAGTGTTGAGCTGGCTAAAAAAGATTATTCATTCAAATTTCTCTTACATGGGACTAATACAAGAATGTTAACACTTAAAACTTTATCCCAGAGAGGATAGCGGTTGATCAGAAATCAAATGATATTCGGGAATGTTCTCGACTACTATCTGTCTAGTATACAATATTAGCGGTGAAGCTTGACATACTGCCTGTCTTCTTGTGAAGTAATTGTCTGCAGCTCCAAGAAGTGCTACCATTTCACACAGAATAGTTTTTCCGATTGATTTTAAACAGTTTTATGACACACACTTCTATCCATGAGATTTTTATGGGATACCCGATAGGAATTCAATAATTCATACTCAACCTCTCGACTAGACTCATTGTGTTCTCCCGCGTATACCAACTTCGCGTGAAGGAAATGACATCTCTGTAAGCTGTAGCCCATCAATCACAAATGTAGATCTGTGACTCTTCACTATTTCCTGTCCATACTCCACAGTCAGCCAATGCCAATGTAGATGTTACTTAAAGCGATTTGCAAAGCGCAAAGGCGAAATTGGCTTATCTGTTATATCCTACGTTCTACAATAATTTAGTGGCATTACCTAAGTTAGAAGTGTTGCAGGACCTTAAGAGTTTCTTCATAGTGAACTACTGAGCTGATACAGTCGAAGGTTGCAGCATTGCTAGCGCCATATACGTGACAGTCTGATAATTGCTGTCCACCAGCCACCCAAAATACTTTGTTTTTAAAGTCATTGCCAGTTTGTCCTCCTCAATAATGCCCATCTCTGCTGGGAAGACAAAGTTGCATTTATTTAGATTCAAATTACTTTGGTTATTGGCGAACGAAACGAATTCTGTTCGCCCACCTTACTCAGACCCATCAGTATACTTTGGTATGGATATTTTAAGTATTACCGATTGCCTTAGCTATCTCCTCGGGGAGCAAGTTGAGGTAACCATAAATAATAAACAGTTACTTTGAGAGATTTAATATGACACTTTTATTTTAGTCTAGGTCACCAAACCAGTACTATATATGTTAATTTGGCGTCGTAGTTTGTTTAAGTTTTTTTTATCAGAAATTACTCCGAGGTGTTTCACCGGAGGCCAATCTCAAGACCCTTAAAGTGAGTCCAAAATTCACAGAGTTTTCAAGTACATACCCTTTTAGCCGTGATAGGCCATTGGGATGCTTAAGCATTCCATACATGGCAAACTCATCCACATTGAAAATTAAACTCAATTCTTTCGTCCCCTCAAATGAGTTAGCAAGGTCTCAAGCTTCATAGGTAAATTTAGAACATTTCTTCCAATTACAGCTAAGCATATGCTTTAGTCAGGCAAGTAAGTTCTAGTTAATCTCAAAAGAGCTAGTCGATGACATTTTTGCAGAGGTATTTGCGTTATTCAAAGCTCAGAGCGTAACCTTGCTTTTTCACTTCTCGTCTCGTCGTCTTAACTGAAACCAACTGCCAATATTAACTCAAAGCGCTTGAACTGTTAGTAGAATTTAAACTATCGTAAACTAAAAGGTCATTAGCAATTCTTGGCAAACTACAACTTTACTCCAAATTGTTTCGAACTATACAGATTAGTCTTCACAATCGAGAACATTTGACATTAATTTATAATTAGTTTCATTCTCTCTTCGCAGTTGGCTTCATAGTGATCTGACATTAAAATTGTTTTGTGCTATCAGAAAAAATCGGTCTTCAATGCATTAAAAAATATGCCAAATTGTCAAAAATTTTCAATAATAAAATATACATACATATGTATGTATTTAAGAAAAAAATTATGATTTCTGCATTTTATTACGTACTTCGTCTGCATCGAATATAGAGATCGTTCTAGTACGATTTTTTTTTGGGTTTATGCGCATCAAAACCCCGATTTTGGTTATCAGCTCAATTACCGATCCACTTCTCGGATAAATATTTTTTTTACATACTAGTACAAATTAACCTAGGAAAAAGAGCTTTTTCTTCCGCATACTAACCAACACGAATCATCAGCACGATTTGTCCGATTAGATCGTTCCCAAGTTCACTTTTCGAAAGAAAAAGTTCTACCCATGTGAATGTAGGCAAAGAGCGACTTCTAAACTAAATCGAACGATTAAAAAATAAATTTAATTTCCTGTCCCAGGCCTACTTCCCAGTAAATTACTTCTTATCAGATGCCTACGTCATACGTAAAACACTGTCCCTGAATTTGAGGTCTATATGGCCACTGGCTTAGGCTATGGGTTGATTTATCAGTCAGTTAAGAGAAAGGCTGTTAAGTGTAGAAAAAAAAATAATTAACTTAAGCTTTATTTTTTATTATATATCATATTTTAACTGCATATAAACTTTGTTCGGTATGGGAATATGGTGCTGGACGAATTTCTGCGACCCCAGAGATTGCAGTAAAATTACTCGTTATTTCAGCAGTGAGGGATGGCGCGTTGTCGTGAAATTAAAAATAGCGCCACAAATCCTCTTTTTTTCCTATTTTGGGACAATTTTTTGAAAACTTTTGGCAAGCGCTCTTCGGTGTAACATTTACGAGTTACCGTCTGACCCTTTTTCAGTGGAATAGACAATAGCGGCTACAGCTTTAGATCGGGTGAAGTAAACTGATATTATTACTTTTGTTACTGATTTTTGTTGCTTAGATTCCACGGGTGGGTTTGGTTCTGTTGGGCTCCATACTATAGACTGATATTTAGCTTATGGATTGTACTTATAGAGCCAAGGCTCCTCACTTGTGATGACTTTACTAAAGTTGCTAGACTGACCATTGCACTCGAGCCTCTTTTTGGACCTCATTCAAAATTCGGCGTACCCATCGAGCAGATTTCTTCGTGAATCCCAGATGATAACTTAGTATTCGCGATACAGCCATGACATTCAAGCCCAATTCATTAGCAATCATTTCTTGTGTAAGTCGTGGGTCTACGCCAACTTTTGATTCCACCAGAACAACAGAGACATCATCAGTGAAAGATTTTGGTCGACCCTCCCGGTGCTTATTCTCTACAAAAAATGCCCGGTCGGAACTACTTAGAAAAAGTATTTAAAGACAGTGCAATCTTTCCATATGCAATTTGGCATTCACTTAATATTTACATTGGTTGTAAGTTACGCCGAAATCCGAAGAGAATTACATGTCAAATTTGCCTTGGTGGTGGAATTTCGTTTGACCTATCCTCAGCTATCTTACGTTGTCTTGTGTCCGTTTTAGCCGACCATTCTTATATTTGAAAGGAACACGAATAAAGGAATTGCAAAGGATTTGGTTTATTTAGATTTAACAAAAACAAATTGAAAGTCACCAACTGATCGAACTTTTGGTAATCCCTTCGTATGAACATATATATATATATAAATTATCACAATAAATTAATAAAAAGTACACAAGAAGAATGCCTCAAATGTGAGAACATCATATTTTGGTCATCTTGCACGTTTAGTGTAAAAAAATTCCAAGAGAAACTGCCTTTAAGTCTTTGTATGACACTTGAGAATGTATTTTGCTGAGCAGCCACACTCTTCCTATATAATTTTCAACGTTTCTGTCTACGGTCACTTATTATCATCCATCTTAAAATTTACTACCCCATCCAATCAGCTTTCAACTAAAAATATTATAATGTTTCTGCTATATTCATAACATCATTTTTTTAATTTTTTTCCTAAATTTCAGAATTCTTTTTTAGAGAGCCGAAAAAAAAAATAAATATCAAATATTTTTTTTACGACCAAATAAATTCCATCGGTTTTTAGGTTTTTGATGAAAACTCATTTGTTTGGTAGCTAACTCGTATTGCGACACTTTTAGCTTATTGAAAAAATCGTTTTCAATTATTTTCATTTTCTATTTGCCATTTGCCATTTTAGATTGTCCATTTTCAGTTTTCGTTTTGCTTTTTCGTCAGCATTTAAACGAATGTTCACTTTAATTGCCATTTAGTTTTGCCAAAATTGCTGCACATTTAGCAGCAATTTTACATATACACACTCACCCACACTTACATACACATATTTTTAGGAGAAAAGCAGAAAACAGGGAGGAAAATGGGTTTGTGTGTGTGCATGTTTGAGTAAGTATATGTAGCCGGATATTTGGGTGGTATTCAAAAAGGCGACAATAAAAGTAAGAGTAATAAGAATAAAATGCAGGTCATTA